AGAGTAAGACTCCCACCCAACTAAAAAAAATAAATAAAAATAAACTTAATAAGTGATCGAGGTAAAATGAGGTTATTAGGCAGGCCTCAGACAGTATGACAAATGGTATCCTTGTAAAAGGGGAAACTGGAACATAAGGGGAGCAAAACAGAGACCACGTGAGTGCCAAGTGTGGCAGGCTGGGTGTGGTATGGCCAGAATCATTGGGGATGGAAGTATTCACCAGGACCGCTGTGCATTAAAGGCAGACTTCTTTTTTTTTGAGTTGTCTCACTCTGTCACCCAGGCTGGAGGGCATTGGCATGCTTCTGATCACACAGCCTCAACCTGCTGGACTCAAGTGATCCTTCTGCCTCAGTTTCCCAGTAGTTGGAACTACAAGCATGTGCCACGATGCCCAACTCAGTTTTTGATTTATTATACAGATGAGGTCTCACCAAGTTGCCCAGTGGGGCCTGAAACCCAAGGACCCAGACAACCCTCTCACCTTGGCCTCCCAAAGGACTGGGATTACAGGCATGAGCCATTAAGCAAGTCCTAAGGTAGATTTATTAGAGGAAAGATACATTATGAAAGGAACAACAGGCAGACCAACAACAAAAGTGTTTGCTGTCTGCTATGAAGAGGGTGGAGTCTAACCCTCTTTTCAGTTAGGGTGCTTTAGGCTTCCCATCATGTATTTGGGTTCCTGCCATGCAAATAAGGTAGTTCTGATTGGTTGATGTTTGACTTTGACTTTGTCAGCTGCTGATGGGCCAGCCAGAGGCTACTCAGCCTTTATGATGTTTGTAGTCTCACTCTGAGATTTCCTTTCTCAAAATAGTTTACCTAATGGATGCTGGCCTGATCGGGCCTCATGTTCCTCCACAGTGAGCACCCAGGGAGGAGACGTGTAACGTGCAACCCCAATCAGAGAGGACTTGTGTATAAGTTTCCTTATCTATTCCAGATAAGTCGCTGGAGGTCCAGTAGGGAAAGACGTTGGTCACCGGCTGGGTGGCTCAGCCTGTAATCCCGCGCCTTGGGAGGCTGAGGTGAGTGGACTGCCCGAGCCCGCGGGTTCGAGACCTGCCTGGGCAACTTGGTGAGACCTCATCTCTGCAATAAATAAAAAAACTAGCCAAGTGTGTAGTGCGCGCCTGTAGTTCCAGCTACTTGGAAGGCTGAGGTGGAAGGATCGCCGGAGCCTAGCAGGTCAAGGCCGCGGTGGCCGGGAGCGGCCACTGCACTCCAGTCTGGGTGACAGAGTGAGACTCCAACTTAAAAAAAAAAAAATTACAGGAGGCACCAATGGAGGTTGGTCGGTGAAGAAAGAATCTGAGCCTCCAGGTGGTTTTATAGGCAAGCAAGTCAATTAAAGTCAATTACTCAAATTCCTGTCCATGACATTGCTTCAACTCTGCTCCATTACCTGCACCCTGACTGTTACTGGGCATACGCATATCCTGCAGAGGCCAGCCTTGGCTAGGGGCTGCTCCCGGGGGAAGGGGCAGAAAGAAGCCAGGTGTCGGGGGAAAGAGTCAAAGTCCGGGCAGTGACCTCACAAGAGGACATCTGCAGCCAAGGAGAGGCTAGAAGGACCCACCCTGCCCATCACGTCCAAGTCCTTGATCTTGGACGTCCAGTCTCCGGAACCGTGAGAAAGTACATCTGTGGGGGGTCGGGGAGTCCACCCAGGGGTGGGGGAGCCAGCCGGCAGGGCCGGGCAGGGTGGCAACAGAGATTGGTGGCTGCAGGGGTGGAGCAAATAAGTAAACAAATGAAGGGACGGAGCAAGTAAGCAAACAGAGAAGGAGGACGGGCAGTGGCTTCTCACCGGAGAGGGGGTGGCGGAAGGGAAGAGGCAGGCGGGGCTCTGGGGGGCGACGAGTTGCCGTGCTTCTCCCGCAGACAGGTGGCCAGTCGCAGAGGCCTCGGCGTGTCTGCTGAGAGGGCCGGGGCGGGGAGCCTGGTGAGGGCGAGCACTCCCGGCCCTGCCATTCCCAGCGCCC